GTTAAAATATTTTGCCTTAATTATCTTCATCACGATGCAGCGAAACAAGCAACAAGCAAGCAATACTGCGAGAAAGAGATGTGAAGAGAGACGATGAGGGCTGAGGAGAGACAAATAAAAAAAAAAACAACAGGAGAGTGAGGAGAGAAGTGGAGCAGAAGAATAAGCAAACCAAAGGGCTCATTACCGTGAAGATTTTGATCATGACAAACGAGGACGGACTGATCACTGCCTCCTGCTCTCACTTCCTTCTCGGCAAAGTTCAGAGGACTGAGAAACAATCACTTGTGACTGGCCAATTAGCACATTAGAAGGTGTTGTTTAGATTCACAGTGTCATGTGTCTGCGCTGATAATGTTGCCGCTACAAGTGTCGGGACAGATGAAGCCCTCAGAAATCAACCGGTGTCATGCAACGCTTGATGCTCATGTCGCCGTCCAACTGTTGAGCCAGAAGTCGAAGTGGTATCTTGCTTGCTTGCTTTTTTGACATCTGGGGTGCCGCTGTGAGTGCCCGTTATTGTGGTATGCTTTTTTTGCTCTGCGCTTCCCCGGAGAGCACTTGTCAGTCATTGTTCACTGGAATTTCCTGTCACATATTATTTATGGTGACTAATTCATCCTCTTTTTACGTGAGCAAACTTAACAGCTAATTTAAAACACAGATGTTACGATGGGTTTTAGAACCAAACTATGCATCCAACCGTTGTTTTATTTAGAGACCTCTTGTCCCGTTGAAGGTCATGAGTTGGCTCAAGCTTCTCTCTGGATGTGATGGGTCAGAGGAGGGTGCACTCTGGACAGGCTGTCACTCCATCAGGGGGCTTATACTCATAGACAGAAAAACACATTCTCACCCACAGGCAGTCTGAGTATAAACTGCATGTGTTAGTTTGTCAGAAGAAGGAAAGCTGGTGGGTTTGCATGAAGTGTGAGGGGACATGCTACTGAGTAACACTGACATCATTATACTGAACCGCATTAGCATTGATTTTACTATATTTGACTCAGAAAGTGCCAGAATGCCGACGGATGCTCATGGTAGCTAACGCACAACACTGTGCCTGAGCTTATAGAGATGTAGAGTGCATATATACATAAAAAAAAGGGGCATTTTTGTCGTGTTTGTTTCTCAAATTGACTTGAAGCAACGAAGAAGCTTGTGACTTAGTATGGCAGAGGCCTCCCCTGCTCGGTTGTGGGCATTCAGTGTGTCATCTTGTTATTCTTGATAGGCAGCCTGGTGGGCAGGTGTGTTGGGTCTGTCAGCGTGCATTCTGGGAAAATGTGCAATCCACACATTGTGCTTTCATCTTTGGAGAGAGGGGCCCTACAGCACATAAATATGGGTGGGTGTTTGTGCACGTATGTGTGCATGCAAGCGTGTGGCTTTGTGTGCGTTTTTGGCACTACGGCGCGCAGCCGCGTGCCGTCATGATTGGTGCTGCCTTGCACATGAAAAAACCAACAGCAGAAAAGATTTGTTGTTAGTATTTGTAGCCTTTGTGATTCTTGGAGCATTCGAAACCTTCTTCTTCTTCTTCTTTTTTTTTTTTTGCTCTGTCAGGGCTCAGTGGATAGCGACTGTTTGGCAGGTTGGAGATCTGAGGTCTCATCCCCGCCGGCAGGTGAAGGTTTAGACAGCCAAAAAGTAAGAGTCTGGGGATTTACAGAAATGGACAGAGTGAGAGGAGCTGGAAGCTTTTAACACGCATTCTGGTCAAAGCAGCGGCGTTTCATTGTCCGACTGTGACACCCTGATGAACCTCGAAGATGAAAAGCTCTGTCGCTATCAGTTGTTGGCACTCAGTTGCATAATACACGCCACTTGCAGCAGCATGTTTTCTGTATTTGCCTGCTTTCTGCTGTATGCAATTTTAAAAATATGTTCTTTAACCAGCTAATGTTATTTCCATGCCTCCATCACATCCCCCGCTCTGATGTTTCATGTTTTGCTACTATCCTCATCTGTGTCACTGCAGACAGATTTTTTTTTGCAGCCATGCAGAAAAACACACACGGACCCACTCAAACGGATGTAAAAACCATTTGTGAAGGTAACGAGGGTCACACAGGGTGACCCAGATTGATAATGCGGCACGCTCGAGGCGGAGAGCTGTCGTTACCGTCACTAACATGGCTTTCCCATCCACTGCTGTTGCCTGCTGAAACAACAGGCTGCGAGCCATGTGAGTGAGACTTTATGCAGCATAGCAACAGTGTGCTGGGAGCGAGTTACCCCACTGTCTAAGCTGATTTGACACAGTCAGGTGAAACAAGTTTTGAGTTTTCTGTGGAAGGATTTTTTTTTTTTTTTCTGTGCTTTTCCTCTATTGTGGAAGCCTGTCGAGTTCAGATGCATGGTTGTCAGGCCATGTGTTGGATTCACCAGTAGAAGAACCTATTGTCTTGTGGGAAGAAATGAAAAGGGCCAGGGATTTGCTAGAGACTGGTGTGGATACTCACAGGGAAGTGATTTTATTTTTTTTTTTACAGAAAAAACACACAGCATTGCAGCGTTCTGTCATTCTTAGTGTCTGTCACATTCAATTGTAAACTGCTATTCTGCCTAAATTTGTGCACACAAAATTAGATATTTTAGGAGGGAAGTGCCATCCCTCATTTCAGAGCCCCTCTGGTGAAAATCAAGTGCTTTACCTTGTTAACTTGTCCATATGGTGTTTATTTGCTGGAAGACATAACAGGAGGGAAATACGCAGATAACGTCACGACTCAGCATTTCAACCGTGAAACTGCAGTGTACCGATGACAGTCCCAACAACACAGATTCGCGACCCTAGTGAGGATGAAGCAGTGTATAGATGATGGATGGATGGATGGACGGATGGACGGGCGGATGGATGGACGGGCGGATGGATGGATGGATGGATGGACGGACGGACAGACGGATGGATGGACGGATGGATGGATAGGGGAAGGTGGTGACCAACTCAGTGTACTCACACCCTGAAGAATTTAGTTAGAAAATTGTCTCAGACCATCATTCTAGTTGTATTTTTTCATTTTGCTTTAACTTGCTGCTTTTCAGTTTCGTTTAGTTTCGGCACCAAACTTGGCACAGTTTTGAAAAGGATCATGGTTTGGGTTAAAATAGACCCATGTTACCAAACTCCATTTATTCCGTTTTATATGCACCTATTCACCTGATCGCAAGAGATTGCCTACATTATCAAGGCTGCGTGCTATTCATCATGATCAGAATGTACGATAACAGCTCTACTGAATCTATTAGAAGGTGAACGACGTACCTGCCCCTGCCTTTGCCCTAAGTCGGCTAGGATAGGCTCCAGCCCCCCCTGCGACCCTCGTGAGGATTAAGCGGTGTATAGATAATGGATGGATGGACGACGTACCTGCTGGCCCATATGTGTCAGAATGATGTCTGACGATAACAGACATTTAATGGACTGATAATGTCCAAGCCAGGTGCTCCTTTGTCATCATGAGGATGTCATTAATGCTAAACGTATAGAACATGGGTAGATGGATGGATTACCATGAGACAGACCAGAGGCTCCCAGAGGATGAATCCTAATGACTTTTGGGTTCAGAGGGAAAATGTCTTGAGAAGTAGTTTAGTGTTTGCAATAAATACTTGCAAATATAATGACACTCAGCTTCAGTTGTACCTTTGTTTAAAATATAAATTTAAAATCCTGTTATGCTAACACATGAAACATGCTAAACATTCTGCCTGCTAAACTTGAACTTCTTAAAGAAAATGGAATTGAAATGGTACCGTTAGCTTTTACCTCCAGCCTCTGTACAATATTTTAATTCCATAAATGACTGCGCCTGCTTACATATAATAAACAAAACTATAATGGGATATACATGTAGCTCTGTTTCATCAATAAATCATCGCATTCATCTTGAGATGTTTCTATAATTACCATTCAGCACACAAACAAGGTCATCACCCAGAAGAAACTGTGTCCTACAAAGTCAGATGTAGCCGAAAAAAAAACCTACTGGATCGTTTCACAGCTCAATGAGAGGCAGTTTTATGACAAAAAAAACAGAAAAAAGAAGTGCAGTAGGTAGCATTACAACCACAAGCAACAGGGTTTATGGACGACACCAGGAACAGTCGCACTGGCACAACATCCAAACTTTAATTATTTGACCCAAGTCAATTAAGTTGTGATTCTACCATCATATTACAACTCATTTGCAATAAATTACTGATGCTTTAAAACACGTTCACGCTCACCTTAACGACGAAAGCCTCCCGAACGCGTGGACGATAGTGTGTGATAAAAAAAAAAAATCTAACCCATTTTGCTTCACTGTTCTCTCCTCGTCACACATTTGACGACAGCAGCGTACAAGTGACAGAGGGGATTCTGAAATGCTGCCAGCGTACGGAGATGAATGCTTTCTGCCTCTGCACATGGCCTGATCTGTCTTGCTTCAGCCCCTCTTACATCATGGCACGTGCCCCGAGGCTTTCTCTCTACAGAGCAGGCGTTCTGTATTTAGAGCCTGATTTATACACAAACACACATACCACTAGGGAAGGCGCAATGAGTGTTCCTTTCCCCCTGCCGCAATTGCCAGCAATATAATCATCTTCCCACACTTCAATGTGCCTTTAAGGGTAGCAGTAAGAAAGAAAAGGAAAAAAAAAAAAAAACTCATGAAAGTGAACAGTACTTTCAAAGGCATAAGAGGACGGAAAAACACAGATGGATAGTTTGAAATATTCTGCACCCAGACCATTCAAAGCAATGCAATAATTAAAAGTGGTATCTTTTATTCTTTTTTGTCCTATTTTTCAGTTCCAAGTTGCCATTTTAATCTTCCTGCTTTTTCTTCCGCCCGAGCACAGCTTGTAAGATTTGCTGCGGAACTCAATCGACACCATGCGGATTCTCCGAATACCGAAGAGGAATCCACCTGGTAAATGCACAACGGGAGGAGAAACTGAAAAATAACACTTGTTTCTGCTCTTCTCTCTCTCTCTCTCTCTCTCTGTCTGTCTTTGTTCTCAGGTTGTTAGAGAGCTCGTTTCTCAATGCAGAAGTGAAGGAAGGAGAGATTTTGCCTCCCACCATTCAGAGGCTGATGAAAGGATACAACAAGTACCTCAGGCCTTTCTTTGACAGTAAGGAAACTGCAGACACATGCAGCCATGGAAATGACAGAACACTCAGGGGAAATGTGTGTTTGACAGAGAACGAGAAAGGTTCATATCGCAATTTTGTGCCAGAGCGTTCCTCCTGAGTAATACATGTTGACATACATTTGAATGTGGTGCAATTTACCGTTGGAATTGGTGCGCTTCATTACTTTGCGTGTCAACATTGATATGAGGCCGGTAAACAAACTCATATGCATAATTGACTTAAATACTAATATCTATATAAATCTAAAAATATACAATATTTTTGGCCGTCCAACCGAGATTAGAGCTCCTAATACGTGCTGTGATTTAGATTCCAATTTCCACCAGGCGACTAATTTGCTTGCCGTAGAAAAACCAAGTCTATGCTTTCAGAAGAACAATGTTATGTCATTCCCTGCAAATCCCTCGCTACCGTTATTGTTCTGGGCTCCGGGAATCCGTCACAATGTGATTATGGTTTGTTTACTCGCTGTTTGATCTGTAATAACACCTTGGACTTTACCAAGGCGAATGCTGTGCAGCATAATCACTAGTCCTCCCGCCTAGGAACGTAAGTGATGCACACAGCGATGGTAAAAAACACTGGTAAACACAGGACGCATTCACACACCCACCTGCATGCTTTTGCAATACTGGCATTGTGAGAACTTAAATTGATCCTATTCATTCCTTTTTGCTGAAGGGAAAATAAAATATCCGGAAAGGCTTTCTGTCAGATTTTGCATTTTCATTTAGTGTTTTTCTTTAGTCACGCGAACAGCACAGCTTAAATGGAATAAAGGTAATAAATATAAAAAGTGAATGTTTTTTAAAGTTTGTGTAACAGAAATTCAGAGATTTGCTTCTAAACACATCATCCATTCATTATCTATACACCGCTTAATCCTCACGAGGGTCGTGGGGGGCTGGAGTCTATCCCAGCTGACTCAGGGTGAAGGCCGGTTTACCTGGACAGGTCACCAGTCTATCACAGGGCTACACTTATAGACAGACAACCAAGCACACTCACATTCACACCTACGGACAATTTACAATCACCAATTAACCTCAGCATGTTTTTGGACCTTGTGGGAGGAAGCCGGAGAACCCGGAGAGAACCCACACTGCACGGGGAGAACATACAAACTCCACGCAGAAAGATTCCGGTGCCCCCACCGGGACGCGAACCAGCAACCTTCTTGCTGCGAGGCAACAGTGCTACCAACTGCACCACCCTGCAGCCCTAAACACATCATGCACATCAGAAAAATAGCTCAAAAACATGAACAGACCTGTGGAGTTAGACTGTAACCTGCAGCCATACTTTGAATGTATCCTCCCTTTAACACTGTAAAACCAACAGCGCATTGGGATGAATGGTTTACCTGCTCCAGTTCCTACACCTACTTCAGCCTACAGTTTGCTAGACCTTCATCCACCCAGTGTGCAAACTGCATGGGAGTCAGGGAAAGTTTGGCTCCTCTGAAAGGTTAAACATGCAACATTCTGAACCGCTGGATGTTGAATAGAACACCAGCATCTCTAAATAAATGAGTATGTGGTCCACACCTCCCCTCCCTTCACTTTCATTTATACCCATAAAGCTTGTGTAGATTAAAGCCAACTGAAAAAGAATCCATTAGCCCTCAGAAGCTCTATTATCTGTGAGGAGAGCCTCAAAACAGCACTCTCATACTGAGCTGGAATGAAATGAGTGCACATAAATTAGATAAGCAATGTAAATAAAATACTGTTTTTCGTTCTTTGTTTTTTTTTTTTTTTTTTGTGGCACTCGCTGGACACCGTGGACTCCGCTTTTGCTTGTGCAGACAGCAGTTTCTTTTAACAGCAAGGGGAAGGCCAACACTTTCAAAAAGAGGGACTGACTTGCATTAATATGTAGCGTGCATGCACGGCCGGTCGACTGGCAAAACATAGAGAGGAAGAAGAGACCACAACCCTCTGCATGGTTGTGAATTCATTCTCTGCTAAGGACACCAGTACACCACCGTATCTTTGCAATACAGATATGTATTGCTGCTTTATTAAAGCTATTTATCTTCAAATTCTTGCATATTGGACCTTTAATATGACACGAGCTGAAAACGTGAATCGCAAAATATCGGAGGTCTCTAAAATATTAAAAATATTGTGCCATGCTTTTCTGTTTTCTTATTCCTTCACCATCATGTATCATGCATAAAATCACAGCTATTACTGATATATGATTAATGCATGAGGGTGATTCACAACTAATGCATTAAAGTAAATATACTATCATTTATGCCATTAAAGCGCGGCAATGAGTGTTGTAAACGTCACCCATCTTACTACAAAAGTCAGAAAGAAAATGTCTATAAGTAGAATGCTGACAGCCATAAAAGAAACAAAGAAAAGCGAACTTAGCCCTCCGCATGAAAGGAGTATTGATAAATACAGGCTAAATCAAGTTCTTCGTTTGTGTGTGTCGTTTCAGACTAAGAACGACTGAACTTGCCTGAAAGCCATAGTATAGTTTGCATACTGGGCACATCCATCTTCTCTGGATGCCAGAATTTGCAGAACAGCTTGGTCTCCATATTTAATTATAAAAGAATGATGAGATGAAGGCGAGGTGGATGGATTTTGAGAGGAGCCACTGTGATACAGAGCTGAGGATCACCACCAAACACCCATCTCTACATTGACACCGTGTGGTTTTACAAACTTTGGTCAAAGATAACTGGATAGTCCACTAATACCGGTGAAGGGGATCAGACTAACTATGTCCCTCCCCGACCTTCGATCCTCCCATCCTGCTGACATTTGGGGCCATCAGCAGTACGTGCCCACCAACGAGTGCAGAAAGCCTTGTGTGCTTAGTTAATTATAGTGTATTAAATGGGTACGTTACATCAAAATTCCCTCCCTGTGCAGTTGTGAAAATTAGCTATGGAGACCAGGCTGTTTATTTCTGTGGACATTTTAACGTAGTGGTCTATGGGGATTGAAGAAAAGATTAGAAAATCTGCAGTTTTGGCTTTATTTTTCAGCCTCAGAGGAGCCGCTTGGTGTGAGCGCTGTCCATCACTGCCCTCGGGTTAATGACAGTTTTCTGAGGTTTGACAAACTCAGAACATATTTTTTTTTACTGCTTTACACAGACGTTAACATTTTATTGCTAATTGCAGAGTTTCGCCGCTTGTCAGTGTCATTCCCAGGCCGGATCGCCTCAGGTGCTGCTTGCACCATGCTTTCTGATTACACACTTTTTGATTTTTGAAGCACATTGCCCTCTTTACTCCGAGCTTATCCATCATTTCTAATACACAAATGACCTTAAAGAAATAATTTTGGGTAATACACTTATTGCCTCGGGTGTGATGTGAAGAGACCGCTGACTTTATTTATCCCACTACAAACTCCAGTTGAAGTAAACACACAAACACCTGCTTACAGTTTGTGCACAAGCATGCAGCACTTATAGCAGGCACTCACGCTGGCACGTACAGTATCTGCAATATGACATCAGGCTCATTACTCCCTCCCAGAAATAGAGATTGATAAGTAAGAGGAAAGGAGAATGAGAAGATGAAACATTGGAGAGCAGCAAAGTTACCCCTTCTTTGATGGTGAATCATGGAGAACTAATTCCCTCAAGGAGGTTCACACTCGACAGACTGCAGCTGCCTGCAGAGATGTGGGGGTCTTTAGCATTTTTAAATATGCTGTCCTTCAATAACCTTCTTTTTTTTTTAATTATTATACAACAGTATGCTTTACTGTGCAGCCTTACATCCCTATGTGTCCTCGGTATAATCTGCTATGTCTTAAAATCATTCACAGTCATCAGACAGAATCAGATAAATAGTAAAGCATTAAAGGCAATGGGATTATGCAGGGTGCAACCATGTATCAGTCGGTTTATTAACGGTTTCTTCTTTGGTTCCAGATGGTCCTGTGACGGTGGGTATGAGCCTGGACATCGCCAGCATTGACACCATCTCAGAGATCAACATGGTGAGACGGCCACACTTGAACATAACCGTCCTTTGAATAGAAGCTTCAACAGGCTCCTTGTGCTCCAGCGTGATTATTAAGGCAACGCTGACACAAGATCAGATACGATAAGAAAGAGTAGATAAGATAAGATGAGATAAGATAGAACATTATTAATCCTGAAAATTCTTGTGCCAGATATTTTTGAGAGAGAAAAATTACATAACAGAAGAATAAATGCAAACAGAAAAACAACAAGATGGAGGTGTGATAGATTAATAAAAACAACAATAAGTGAGCTAAAACAAGACTAGAACAGTAGGGAAATATTAGCAGTGATGCTAAAGTAGTAATATACTAATTTCTGCCTTATTTAAATCGTGCTGAAACAGCAGCATCCATCCTCTCTGGTTCAGAAGCCGTAGTGACAGCTGTCAAGAGTTGCCCCACAACACAAGAAATTGATTATGTGGTCACAGACAGCAGGACTCTCACAATGAACAAAAATATGTTCAGTGTCCTAAAAATTAGAGCAGACTTGCTGACTTGAAGCGATTCTGTGGATTACTGCTGCTTCAGGCTCTTTTGACGCCATCAATACTAAAACAATGCAAACAAGCCCCGAGCTGTCCAATGATGTATAAGCACACAAAGCTTGGTTTGCAAAAAACCCGAATGACTTGTCAGCACATTATTGACGTGCTTGTTAGAACGGTCTATTAGCCTCTGCTGTGACCTCTGGGCCTCAATCCTGCAGGACTACACCGCCACCATATTCCTCCGCCAGCGCTGGACGGACGAGCGCTTAGTGTTCGAGGGCAACAAGAGCCTGAGCCTGGACGGGCGGCTGGTGGAGCTCCTCTGGGTGCCGGACACCTTCATCGTCGATTCCAAGAAGTCCTTCCTCCATGACATCACCGTGGAGAACAGGCTGATCCGCATCTTCCCCAACGGGACCGTCCTTTACGCGCTGAGGTGGGATAACCAATGAAGACTGTTGGTCTGATTGGTTTGTTGTGTTGGTTTTTCTTTCTTTTTTTTTTTTTTATTTATAATCCAACACGCAATAAAAAGTAAGCGAGGGACTGGAAAAGAAATTGGCAGAGGGAGGACGCGTGGGTTGAATTTGAGATAATGTGATTGCAAAGCAGGGAGTTGTGTCAGTTCTATTACGCCGGTATTGGATTGTATGAGTACAGAAGCATGCGGTCTGTCGATACAAAGAGCTGTGGGCTATCAAAGCAACATAAGTCCCGTTTGGATACGTGAAACAGATATTGCGCCGTGTGCAAGGCTTAACGTCTGACAAGCTCTTGGCAAGCATCTGAAACGTGCATTACCTTGACGTTTTGATTAGATGCTGGGCACAGGCAGACAGGTTATAGATAAAAAAAGGTTATAGATGAATGTGTTCAGATCTTTTAAACCCTGCAATGATGGGATTTTATACATCCTACTGTTTTAATGCCACTTCCTTTATGCTCTGCTCATGCATGGATTGTCTTAGCGCCTCTGTCTATAGCTGTATCCAGTCTAGTGGAAGCTACACATCAAATGTGAGACAGTCACACTTTTCTAATGGTAACCCTGTAAGTATAATGAGGGTGATGTACACGGCTGCCATGTTATACTAAACTTGTATTCAGACATGTTTACGTGTGAGTTTTGATTCTGTGAGTTGTTATTTTTAACAAGCGCATGGAATTGTTCTACAGCGAGGCTCGCATTTGTTGATCTTTTGTTCTAAATGTGTGTGTGTGTGTGTGTGTGTGTGTTCTCGTTTTCAAGCACCTTTGCCTGAATACAGAAAACTGCCCACTCTCTGTGCTTCACTGTGGCAATGTGGAGGAGGTTAGCGCTTAACAGTCAGGGAGCAGGACTAGTGAGGGTAAAACAAGCCAAAAAAGATAGTCGGGAGAGAAATGGCCACCTCGGGGGAATTGGGGCTGTGAAAAAAAAAAGAAAAAAAAGGAGGACAGAGTGAAGTGAGAAATGTGAGGTGCTGGAGGAAAAGGACAGCTGTGGTAAATGTTTCAGTGCTGTGCCAGGGGGGAATACATGAGAAAGCACTGAGGTGATTGCAGCCAAAGGTTGAGCAATTAAGAGGAAAATGATTAAAAAAAAATAAAAATCTGTCTGTCCGTTTTTATGGTTTACACGTTTCCAGATCGTATTTGTTGTGTAAAATCATCACAAAGCCAGAGGTCAGACACACAGGTATCCATGTAGTAAAGACCAGACGTACCAATTAAACATAGCCCTGTGGAAAATTGTTGTGGCAGGTCAAGATCCATGGTGCTGACATGGATTTTCTATGGGTTCACCTCCCTTCTGTCTTGTAAATCAGTGTGCTGCAGTTCGTTATTGTATAGAAATCTCAGCAAGACACTCAAATCTTGTGTTTCCGTCATCCATCAACATCGCTGCTGATATTTATAGAACTTCTAATAAATGGCCAAAAATGGTTCCATATTTTGACTCATCAGCTAAAAAAAAAAAAAAAAGAAGTGAGAAGGAGTACTTAAAAATCTTGGCGTACAGGAGCTCAAAGTAAGTTTTAGCAAAGTTCGTGTAATTCTGAAGTGCTGACTGCAGCGATTCCTAAGTGTGAAGATAAGGACTACAGTCGTGTCCAAAAATGACCTCTTTTAAGCTCTGAATCAGCCAGTAGAAGGCCTTCAGAGGTGCATCATTTATCAGAACTATCCACACCATGTCATAATTAAAGGCATCATTAGTTGGAAACACTTTGACATATTGATGCTTGTGAGAGTCGAGCTTACAGACGATACCGTGTTTCCCTTATGGCTGTGTTTAGGGTCTAGATATAAGCAATGCTGTATGGTTTATAAAATGCTCCAGTTTTTTGAAGCAAAATATTTATGATTAGTAGTGATGCTAAACCTTTTAGAAGAGCATTTGAGTCAAATACATGTTTGATATGGGTTGATCTAAATGTTTCCATGAAGCACTTACTGCCAATGGAATCTATTTCAGCTCATCTTTTTCACATGTGAGCATGTGTTTGCCTTCAGACTTACAACATCCAAGCGTTTTCATTCTCAGTGTGGCTAACAGGCTCTATCTTTTATTAGCTTATCATCATCACGTGTAGGTGTGTAATCAGTGCCTTTGCTGGTCTCCCACACTTCATTCTTAAGAATTCCTAAGACTCCTTACACCTGCTAAATAAGACCCGGTGGGAAGCTGGAACCAACTCGATCCTCAGTATGGACAAACGTGTGCATTGCACCCGCTGTACTTTTAAGGATAATTTCTAAGAATGAGTGCAAAATTGCATCATTCGTGGAGTATTGATGCGCTTAAGGCCAAAATACACTGAGCAGCTTTATAGATACCGGCGTGGGTATACAGAATGACAGCAAGGAAAGAGGCTGTCCTTCTGCATTCTCAAAACAAAATGTGTTCATATATGTCCTAACGGTCACTGTATCATATCAGAGACTTGTGTATATAATAAAATAAAATTTGTGGGGACTTTCTTGATATTCTCCATTAGTCATCACCTTTAATGACAACAACATTTCTGTTTTTAGGATTACAACCACGGTGGCCTGCAACATGGATCTGACCAAGTACCCCATGGACAAGCAGACCTGCACGCTACAACTGGAGAGCTGTAAGAACACTTCATACTTAATAAAGAAAATCTCATCTGTGCTCCTTGAAGCGGTGGCAGAGAGTTGGTGGGTGGGCGTGATGTCAAGTGAATCTGATCAAACCAAGGGATCAAACGGATCACTTTCTCTCATCTTCTACACTGCCTCTGTGTGTGTGTGTGTGTTCTCAAGACTGCATGCTTATGTCACACAGCAGACACAAACTGGGGCAATTCTGGTCATGATGGGATATGTTTTCCTGTGTATAGTATTTCCCTTACTCTAATGAAAAGAAAAAAAAAAAACATGAAGCTCGAAAGCAGTTCATGGAAATTGTTGACACCTTTAAGGAGAAGTTCGACAGTTTGGGGGAATGTGTCTTAGGTGGGAAGATCAGTACAACTCTTACTGTTGGTAAAAGTTGTATCAAGTACTCAGATATTCAAGTACTCAGATATTCAAGTACTCAGATATTCAAGTACTCAGATACCTTCATTTTTTGGGGGGAAACTCTGTTGTGTTTTACATTTAATTTTAAATGAACACAACTGCTTTTCCTCATCCATCTATACTCACTCGCCCATATTGACAAAGTTGGTGGTGGTGCTGGTGTTGTGCAGATTGGCAGTTACTGGGGTTCAACAAACAGTGCTCGGTGTTCTGCACAAACAGTTCTCGGAGAGTCTTTTGTTCTTTGTGCTCTTACAGTCATTAAAATGCTGTTTGGCAACCTCCAAGCAGGCTGGCATGGTATTTACTCAATAGTCATTCTTTGTCTCGGTACTCCACCATAAAGCCTGTTTGATGAGGTACTTTTGAGATGGTTGTTCTTTCAGCAGGTACTCTGAGTTCTGCAGGGGACGTCTGAAGCTCTGTTAGAGTGACAGTTTAGTTCTTGGTCACCCTTCTGTCCACGGCTATCTAGTTTGGTCTCACAGTTTTGCTTTATGACTCCAGCTATTGTGGTTCCAGACTTCTTTCATTTCACAATGATTGAGGCTGCTTGACTCCTGAGAACTGTCAGAGCTTTAGAAATGGTTCAACAATTCATCAGTTTTATGAGTGAGAACTATAGACAGTTCCTTTGTCTTCAAGTCTTGTTTTTGTTGTGAAATGCAGTTTGGATTGTTGGAGCTTTAAACAAACAACCGTCTGTCTTTCTAATCGATGTCCAATCAGTTCAGTTTACCACAGGTGGGTAGCAGTCAAACAAGATAAATCTGAGAGCCACAGCAAAGTAGAAATAGAAAACTTTTAGAAATAAAAGATTTTTGACTTTACAGAAATTTGCAAAAAAAAAAAAAGTCTGAAAAAATGTTTTGGGTTATTAATCGTAGATTGACTAAATAAATCCCAGGTGTCTTTAATGCATAGATATGAAAGTGTGTGCCACAAATGTCAAACTCCTCCGTTAGTCCTTGACTGATTTAAATTTTCTGCTTATAACAGCTCTTTCCCACAAATCCACTGACACCAATTTTTTAGGGCCAGTCCAGTCCCTGATACCAAATCCACCTAATCCTACAAATCCTTTAAACTCACCCTTAATATCTTAAGAATGCAAACCTCTGCCACCAGACACCAGAAAATGCATCGTTTGTTGAAAAATTTTTAAATTTCTTGACATTTTCCACAAATAAGAGGATCGATTTGCCTAATTATGACACACAGTCGTTAGTGTCACGACGAAATAGAGTGCCAGTATGTTTCTAATCACAGCAAATTACTATTAGGAATAAATTACGTGACAAGATGGATTTTTTTTGGCTTTGCAGGAGATGGTAGGAAGAAGAAGGGCCCTCTAGCCCCTCCTCTCTGCTTCCTTGCTCATCTGCCGTCGTTGCTTTCCAGCACGCTTTTGCTCCATGCTATTAAATGACAGCCAGCCAGGCTAAGCTAAGTCTGATCCCTGCCAGAAGCCCACCAGGACCTCAGTGCCAAATAAAACATTTAGCTTGAGCTCCAGTGCCACTTAGCAGACAAAAAGACATCTGGAGGTTAAAGTTAGGTAACTGAGAGGATGATGGATCCTTCCTTTCGCTGCTTCAATAATTCCCGGCAAAATATCTGCATCGCTCTCTTTTCTATCTCCGTCTCTCTCTTTTCCATCCTGCCTCGCAATCTCTCTCTCTCATCCAGCTTCTCTATCTGGGCTGTTTTCTCTCTCCTCCTTCCTGTCCTCCTCTCCTTCAATCTCCATCTCCCTCTTGCTCTGTCTCTGTGTCTCTTTATGAAGATGTATATTCAAGGATTTATTTCTTTTAATGCTGTGCCAAAAGTGGATCCTCAGCACAGGAGGAAGCTTTAAAGCGAGCGTCGTTGTGGGAGGGGTGTGGGGCGTTTAGATTGGGATTGCGGTAAAATATTTAGTGCGTTCTGAGTCAGAAGACGGCGTCGGTCTTTAGTGATCTTTGCTTGGGATGAAATTTTGGTGGCGACCCTTTTAAAAACACCTTAGTGTGAATACGGCTATTCAAAAGGCCACACACTGCACTGGGAGGCTGAAGGAGCCTCCATGTAACTCCTTGCATGCTATAGCGCAGCATGTCACCGCACATCTGTGTCTCTAATTTGTACAGTAATGCCAGGGCTTTAGGTTAGGAAAATAATGAGTTCCTATACAGCGAGAGAGAAAACGGTCAATTTATAGGACCTTTCAGCATCAAAGTCATCACTGCCCTTCATTAGGCAACTGTGCTGCGGGTATCATGGATCTGATCAGCAGTACATGACTCCATATGGGTTTACACGGCGAAAGAAATTAATGAGCGTTTCATGTGCAGCAGATTACAGGAGTGTATTCCTGCTTCAGTCGACGGCACGTCTTCTTATTCTCTTGCTCCCTCTGCAGATAAATTAGGAAAATGCACCTAAGTAGTTTAAGCCTTGTTAATCACACCTTTTGTCTCTTATCAAATTTGAAGACACGTCGGCGCTTATTAACTGACAGCATTGCACATTGTGACATTGTTCTATCGAAAGCGCTACCACACTCGACCGTGGCATCTTTGATCCTATTCATTTTGCATGCCTTCTTATTCTAACTTTTATTTGGGTTATCTAGTCTCTCTAGGGCCCGGTGCAATATGCATGATTAGTCTGTTATGGTACGAGGCAAGAGTTAAGCCCTTCACCAGGCCTTTTTTTTTTTCTCCCCCCTCCTTCTATTGCTATCCTCTTTGAAGAATCACTTTTCCATTAGCAATTCCTGTTGGATCTCTCTGTGTCAAACTGTGTTAAAGTGAATAATGGAGGCATATTCCAAATATAACCGCATACATGAAATATTAGCATAACACTTAAAGTCGGGCCGTTGTATTAGCATTGCCAAATTCATGTGGTGTTTCAATGGTGGATTTATTGAAGTGTTGCACTGTGTAGACCTTTTGCTTCTCAGGGGTAACATGTGATCGTAGCGTTTCAAAGGTGTTTTCGCATTCCCTTTGATTCTCCCCAAATGTCTCTCTTGTGCTGATATTTAGCATTAGGGGGAATTTACCACCCACTATGGATTGCAATCTCAACCAACTCAGCTGTAACAGGATCAGACCATACCATAGCTTTAGCAATTAACATTCCCAGCTGTTCCCACCACTTTGGAGTTTAGTAAAAGAAAAAAAGCTACTAATATTGTGTCTATACTATCATCATCACCACCACTAAAATTGAAAATGATGTGTAAGTTATATTCCCACCTGCATGTGGATGTACATCGTTGCATTTTGGGTATTTAAAGGTTACCAGCGTTACTGCTTATCTGTCGAGCTGTGACGGCACAAATCACTGAATTGTTCCAGAGGAAGAGAATGAAACAGGCTGTGTGTTTTATGTACTGTATAATGCTGACCCAGGAAAGTTTAATGGTGAGTGTGTTAGCAAACAGTTGCCATCCAAAAGACATGGAACGGCATTAGCATTCATTTGGAGTGGTTTGTGGTCACCTGATGAATGTGAGTGCTCCTTTTAGCTGACCTAAACCAAAACAGGAAAGTTGGAAGAGATCAAAAATGTTTTGTAGAGCTGAAGTAAACTCAAGAAACAAAACCTCTCTGGGTTTGTTTTCACATGACATGCATACTTCCTGAACCCACTGATCGTATATTAACATCGACTGATGCCAGTTTCCTCTTCTCGTCTCTTCTCCTACAGGGGGCTACAATATCAATGATGTGATGTTCTACTGGACCAGAGGGAACGAGTCTGTCAGTGGTTTAGATTCCCTCCAGCTGGCTCAGTACACAGTAGAAGACCACTACACGTCGGTCTCAGAGGCTATCTATGAAACGGGTACCAGTGGCGTTCCAAACCTTTTCCTAATCTTACTGCCAGAGCTACACGAATGTTTTTGATATGATGTTAACTGATTTCTGATGTACACCATCTTCTCAAAAGGCCATTACCCCAAGCTGGTTTTCCACTTTGAGCTGAAGAGGAGCATTCTGTACTTCATCCTGGAGACCTACGTCCCCTCCAGCCTGCTGGTTGTTCTCTCATGGGTTTCCTTCTGGATTTCTCTGTCCTCTGTTCCGGCACGGATCTGTATAGGTACGACAAAAAAAATAAACTGTCTTTGTTTACTCAAATGTGAAAAAGTTTGCTCTTGGGGAATTGCCATACCTTTAGTCCTATCTACTGTCATGTGCACAAGCAAACATTTGTTCCATTGCCAAAATGTTGCTTTCTCGATGATTAGTTCGACAAAAAATGTCAACAGATGTAATATTCTTCTGGGGAACAGAAAAGTAAAAGCTTGGCATCAGAAGTCAGTATCCCTCCGTTATCAGAAATGACTTGTAGGTGTTTTGCATAATTGTCCATCAGTCTCTGGCAGTGACTTGTTGAAAAAATTTAACCACCCTCCCATGAAAAAAATTCCTTCAAGATGTTTTCTTGCATGCACTGCCTGTCTCACACCCCCGACAACATTTAAATGGGACTCAAATCAGGCAGTTCCACAACCTTACATTTCTTCTTTTGTGAACCATTACTTGGTGGAATCTTAGTGCGCTGAGGATCATTTTCCAGTAAAAAAGGTCCGCTTTTGGTTCAGCATCAACTTTCAGACAGATGGCCTCGCATTATCTTCAAGCGCTCTTTGATATGGTACAGAATTCATGGTTGAATCAGTGACTGCAAGCTGCCCAGGGCCTGAGGCGACGAAGCAAAGTCGAACAGTTCCAACAGCATGCATCGCAGTTGGTGCGAGGTTCTTATCCTGAAAAGTCGTCTTTGTTCTGCTGTCTACTGTTACTGTGACCGGACAGCTCTCTTTTTGATTCATCTGCCCAGAGCTTACTATTCCAACTTTGCCTACACATTCACTGCCAAACCATAGTTGTCCGCTAATTCCTTTTTAAACAGAAACCTGGCAAATCTCCCATGCAGGTTAGATTTGTGGAATCGCTTTCCAATTGTAGACGCAGCACTTTGACACTAACAGTTGCAAGAGTTACCTGCAGATCCTCTAAAGACATTTTTTTAGGCTTCTTGGAGGCATTTTTGGAGCCAAATAGTCTGCTCAGGGCTCAATTTGCTGGAGTGGCCAGTCCTGGACAAATTGACAGACCACTTGTAGATGTTTTTCCCTAGAGTGAAATGATAAGTCTTATGGAGATGTTTTTAAATCCCTTGCAATAATTACAACCCTTTATTCGGAAGACCTCGGAGACTTCTTTAGGTTTCGGCGTGATGATACCGCACACTTTAGTAGAACAGCAAACTTTGATGTCAGACAGGTCCTATCTGTTGCTCTAATAATGGACACCTGACGGGAACCTCTGATCATAATTTGATGTATTTGGTGCGACAAAAGTACTTACTTTGTCCACCAGACTTAAATGTTTTCTATTATAAAAATGACTACAAATATCAGTTTTGTCATTTTGTTTGAGAATATCACCTTTATTTATAGGAACTGTTTCAAAAAGGATGTGTTTGCTCGTCCAAATCTGTCAAAAAAGTCAACAATTCCCATGGGATGTGTTCTGCTGTGCTGTCAGTCAGCAGTATTTGTTTACCATTACACTGATATGTCGACCTTTTGCTCCCAGTCGGTGAACATAAGCATTTGTTTAGTTTTGATTTTAGAGGACTTAAAGAGAGCATCTCTGACACTTGTGCTATCGAGAGGGAGCATTCAAACTTCTATATTTTGTTGGATTAGCTCCGCCACACCTCTCCAAGGGGCTCAACAACTTCTCAAAACAAACTACAAAATATTCCACTTCATGGCATGTGAGGTGTAAAAGGAATTTTTGATGAGGTTAATGTAGAAGAGCCTGGCTGCCCTTGTTTGTTTCTTGTGTTGTTGCTGCTCTTTTTTTTCCTTTTATCCGATTGTCCATGCATGCTATGAGTATGATCAAATTGAATTCATTGTGCACTGGCAAGATTGCAGTATTGAAGGCTGAACTGGAATTATTTAGAGGATGTGCAACACAGGGTTTAGTCCTTGAATAGTTCTTGTATGGATCGTGCTGTCAAATTGTCCGACTGTTTCAGTGTACCGGTTTCTGTCTCATTCTTTTTTAACACACGGTATAGCATAGCCGCGTTGTGTCTGTGTGATGTTCAAAAGACAATGATGTCGACAAATCCCCACCAAAACCAACAACAGGTGTGTTTTCATCCGCAGATTATGAACAAATAATTGGCAAATCTGTAAAATAAATAGTGAATTATGCAAACCTGTTATGCAAATATTGGGAGTTGGGTCATTGAGAGACGCAGCTGATGGTGCTTCTTCTATAGGGGATTGTAGAAAACGAGGACACGCAAACTCTCCAGATTAAGAGCTCCAGTTAAGCGTCAAGTGGTGGAAAAACGCTGGAGAAAAACACAATGGTGCTACTTTAAGTCTCTGCAGTGGTGCTGAAGCTTCAATAGATGTTTAAGTTTTGCTTTTATCGACACAATTTCTCTTTCACCGCAGGCAACAAAAAAAAAGCAGAAGAAAGTTTCTTTTTTAAACTTTTTCAAATTGAAAGTGCACAGAAAAACAGCCGAATGGAAACTGACCTCGTGACTTTATTCTGTTTTACTGTATCTCCTGTGTAGTCGAATCCTCATTATAGCTCATACCGGAGGGCCACAGTCCTCCACTGTCACCACATAAGTATTGAAACATCCTCAGTACTGAGGCGTTGGATGACATCTTTCATAATTTAGTTTAAAGCCCCTGAAAATTTGGTTTCAAACTTTTGAGTCTTACCCTGTAACATCAAATACTCCGAAGAAGAAAATCAAGGCTGTTATTGGCTGAGACGGTTAAAAAGATAATCTTGTTTAATGTTTGATCAGTACAATCCATACTTGACCAGTGTCTGGGTGTGTTTCCTCCACCAGGAGTGACCACAGTACTGACCATGACCACTCTGATGATGGGAGCCCGGACGTCGCTGCCCAACGCCAACTGCTTCATCAAGGCCATAGATGTCTACTTGGGAATCTGCTTTAGCTTCATCTTTGGAGCGCTCATTGAATACGCCGTGGCCCACTTCTGCACGCTCACTCACAGCGACGCACACATGCTCATGGTAAGGCCTTCCTGGATGTTCTCCATCGCTGTTAGTTGATGTGGTCGTTGCTGTTGTTGTGGTCATTGTGTTCATCGTGGTGGTCGCTGTCATCATCATCATCATCATCATCATCATCTTCACCATCTTGAGCCCTTTGGAGTAAGTTGAACATCCTCTACGAGTTCTCACATGTAGTTTTAGTTTCCTTTCAAAGCTCACCCTTCTGTTCTTGCAGTACGGCCACCACATGCACGACTTCGACGACGAGATGAACGGCATCGTTACCACCATCTCCGCTCACTCCAGCAGAGCCAAGAGACGCAAGGAGCCCGCCGCGACTCCCCCCTCAGCTCCGTCCTCGACAGAACTCACCGTCCGCCCCTCCAGCCCCTCGGGCAGTGAGCCGAAGCCCGAGGCGTCGCCCCCAGAGCCCACCCACTGGTGCATCACCGTCTTGGCCACCATTCGCAAAATTCTCCGCGCCATATATTGCTGTCATGTGGAGAACCCCCACCACATAGACAACTACTCCAGAGTCACGTTCCCCCTGTCTTTCGTGATGGTCAACCTGCTCTACTGGACATATTATCTGTACTTTTAGCATTTGCTTGAGTGCAGCATCTGTCCCAGAGAGGGTGAACCGGAGAGCGTACATAGACGAGACGTGTATTTTACTGTATGTATGTACAGTAAGTGTTGTTTAGGTGTGTTCTGAGGTGAGTGTGTACACTTTCTACATTTGGATTCATGAGTGAAGTAGCATACTCATGCAGGGTTGTTTTAGGTGAAAAACTGAATGCTTGTGATTGCAGCTCCATTTTAAATATTAATAGGTAGTCAAACTGAGCCGCTGCTTTAAATTTCATCGAGTTGGTTTTTTGCTAAAAATAGGCCTACCTGTCCCTGACAAGGTGAGATTTGATAAAATTCCGATACGCTTTAAGATGAGACGGCTCACTAAGATAAAAATGGCCAGCCTGTCTTCTTCCTTGTAGTATATTCATTTTAAGATGGAGCTGTAATTTAAGGCTTCATGACAGAATTCGCCAGCACTGTTGAGTGAGAACAAATTCCCCTTCCACTTGGATTCTCTGTTGTGATGGATTGATCATTGATATTTTACAACTTCATCTTCCATCTCTGCCTGCAGGTACAACATTTAGAGAGAAATAGGAGAAATAACGGATGGCAGAAGAGGGGTGAAAGAGACAGACGAGGGAGGTGGAGGAAAAACTCCGAGGCAGAGGGTGTTAAAAAAACTGTAAACCGGTCTCCGAAAGGATTATCATTTGCTCACTGTTGAAATCTCTCTTTCTTCTTTGTCTTTCCGTGAGTTATTTTTTAATTCACCAAGCAGTGCTGTTTCTCTTCGCCTGTGTTTTACCTTCTTTTCACTGACGCTATAAATGTAGTGGCCTTTGATCCCTTCAGTCGTACTCTGGAAATCCGGCCACCATGAGCAGTTTTACGGCGCTTGTTATCACACAAATCTGTTTTGCTGTTTCACAAGCGAGGCACCCTGAACCCCCTGACATATGGAACTCCAAAGAGGTCCATATTTCATAAATAAATAGCATATTACGAAATACATTTTTATGTAATTAAATAGAGAGAATGATGTAAATGAGCCAATGAGTTACTGTAATTATTAAAAGTCAACACATTATTATGAAATGTTAATTCTACTTTCCCTCCATTTTTTTTTTTTTAGAGTAGGATTTCTTCTTCTATGATTTTTTAATTTCTTGTGACCAGAGCATGCCCCCTTACCTTTCAGGTGATGTACTGCCCATATAGCCTTGGAGTTTAAATTCATCTAAGAAGCTGCCAATAAACACAGCGCCACAACGCAGACGCTAACATTAGCAAACCAGCTGAGTAGCTAGAACAACTTTGATCATTATTTGCTATCAAACCAGGGGTGCCAGGGTTAGCCATGTTAGCTAGCTGGCTAATCAGCTCTAAAAAGGACAGATTCTCGCGCGAGTTAAAAGTCGGCCTTCATTGTCGGTTCTTTTAGCCGTCATGCGCTAAGCTAATAGTTGGCGAGCGTGCCGGGCGAGTTTGTGGTCACGTGTGACTGAGCTGCTTTCTATATTCTCAGACATATTTCCATCCGTGACAGCAGTTGAAATAACGCGAACAATATAAAAAACATGCTGAACTTGACATGAAATGAAAAAAGGTCATAGCGTAAAAAAACGCTCTAAGAAACAGAAACTGACGATGGAAAACAAACATTTTAACAAAGTAAGATTTAAGACAGATAAAAAAAAAAACATCTTAATAGTGTGTTTGAATTTTAATAATGTATTTAAGTCTGTTGCAGTTTATTGGATCATGTCTACATCTCTGTTTAATCACGTGAATTTTTTATTTCAATATATATTATTTATTACTTTTGGAACACTTGTAACTGTGCAGGCATAATGCAGAACACATGTGTGGTTATACAGGACAGCAACACCTGGACAGACAGGTACCATATTATAGTGATATATATACATATACACATATATGCAGTATTTCTCTCTTTATGGGCTCCTGGTAGCGTTTCTCACTGTGCTTTTGTAATACATAAAGCCACAGCTCGACGTGTTAGACATTGTAGAGTGATTTGAATATGAATGAAATGGCCAAAACATTTCAAGAGGATGTCGTCATCTGCGTATTATCCACGCGGCTAAATGCCTGGATATGCTACGCTTGAGGTGCAACTCCTCTCCTCAGTTTTTTTTGTCACCTTCCACTTTTTGAGTATTGAGCGTTCCAGTTCAGGTGATCGAGTACGTTCGCTACCAGTGACGTGAACCAAAGAACCAAAGACTCCAATTTAATTTTAACTGTTCTTCTTGGTTTCCCTTTAGTTCCTACGAGACTTTTAAGTGCATTTTCAAATGTTAATATCATGTTTGTTATTCATCGGAGAATTCTCAAATAGCATGCAGTCAGTGAGCAGATAAACATAAAACTTCATATTCCAGATAGACAACAGGATTCAGTTGAACAACAGAGGTGCATGTTTATTTATTGCTGTATTCAATATTTGCTGTGACATACTCTCACTCATGTAAACGAAAGCAGTTTAACAGACCATATAGCCGGAATGCAAGTCTCAAGGATCCATTTCTAAGAACTACCTGTCTACGTGTAAAGACAAGCTATATCGTCAATATATACTTACGCTTCATGGACTTATTTTAGCTCCATTGCTTCTCATGTTTGAATCTATTTTGAATATGCCATCAGCTAATCAGACGTTTTGATTGCTCTCTTTGCCTGATAATAATAAAAGTAGGATTTCTTTTCTCCTTTTTTTAGTTTGTGTTCCTTCTGCATGGTTATCAAGTGTAACTTTTGTTTCTTCTGCTTCGTTTGATTTCACTTTGGTTTAACATGATTGAGGAGAATCATCATGAAATGCTAAACTGAGGCTATTGCAAGGATTAGACGTGTAATTTGTTCGATTTGGGGTCTCATCTGGTTCCAAAAGTGCTCAAACTTCTGTTCTCATTTTTCAGTTTTTTGAACTTTGAAAGAATGAGTGGCGATGTTGTTTTGCCTCCGACTGAGCCGCGGTCTTTGCCGCGGACGTCGGTGAAGCGCGTTGAAGAGGTCGAGGTGGTAAAACACAGATTGTCAGGTTTTATACAATATAGCACCGCGGTTGTAGTTTTGATAGTAATCTTCTCAGCGACTAGTACAAGAAATGAATGCCAATATGGAGCCAAAGAAACACAAGAGCAAACACTGAAAGCTTCCTGTGGGTGTTGGATGCATATAGAACGCCACGCACAAGAGTATCAGTACAGTACGGCTCCACGATTGCAACTACATTATCAGCGCTGGTTTGCTCCAAATGGACAGCATTGTGGACGGTTATAAATACCCGGGGAAGACAATATGGGGCAACATTGCCAGGACACATTTGGAGTAACTTTTCAGCAACAGAAAAATGGGGGAAATGGCTACCGTTGGACCGCCCTTTCTTTTCCTGTTGTGGGACTTGTCAGTTCTATCTTCCAGGTGACACTGGCTAACCAACCTCACAGTTCCTGGGACATCTTCATGTGAAATGTATTTATATACTGTAGTACCATGTTAATATAGGCATACGTTTGCTTAACCTGTTGTAAATAAATAGTAACACTATGCATGTTTATTTGGTGTATGAATATGAAAGATAGCAATAAAAGAGGTTTAACGTGTGCATCGTTGACACTCTTTATACATTTTCGCTCATTGCCGGTAACGTTTGTGTATGAAGATGGCATCGTAATTCAACATGGTAGTTTCATTTCAATTAGGAGCGCAGCGGGATAGAGCTGCTGGCCTGCAGTCATGCAAATGTATGCATTTGTGTGTTGCAGATGTTAGGGCAGCAGTGTCCCAGTGGGTGAGTGGGTGGATGGGTGGGTTGGTGGGGGAATGTGAGTCTAATTCCCTGCAGCTCTATTAGCTCTGAGTCAGCAGTATGCAGAGTGAGAAGATGATCTGAGATCCCCACACTCGCCTGCACACACAATTACTTTTAATGGGTGAATTCCGAAAGATGTTTTCTTTTAAAGATGTACCATTTTGCTCTTTGGCAGTTCCAGGAGGAAGCAAAGATAACAATTTTTTTTAAAAACCATTTCATTACCCTGAAGTCAGGAATTTGGGTAAACTATGAAGTATATTCCTTTTTGCTGAGATGAAAAAATACCACTTTTTTTTGCAGCTAATTCTGGCTCTGGCACGACTAACTTTGTGTAGCTGTTTGTGTTCTTGGTCAGTTTCCTGCAGTGTTGTAACACCACTACATTCCTGACACTACTCAACTTACATAATATAATAAATACATCAACAAGATTCAAACACAGATATATATAACAGTACACTTATTCCATCAAGCACCGCAGCACCGTTATATAACCCCTGCCTACACACATTCGTTAAATATTTTACCACAAACAAATGCCAAAGCAATGTAGCGTGATTATATTCTCCTCTCTGGATGAGTAACAGCATAGATTGTAGGGATCACAAAGCCTGACAGTGTTACCTTGAGTCAATACCTTTGTACTACCGAGCTGAAAACAACGCTGGTGCTGTGTGTTCATAATCCTCGTACTGTAAATCCTGATCCTCTGCTCAATCAATCTCTCTGTTTCCATGAATCCCTTTAAAATGAGATCATGAGAGGGATGTAGTGCATATCAAAAGTGCAGGTTTTGACCTTGTCAAGTACTTGCTGTCAATGTTTTATGCTCAGTTTCTTTGATCACGAATGAAGCTGTCCGATGGTAAGACAGGCTTTAGGTTTTTTGATATCACCCTATCAATATACAGTATGCAGTACTGTATTGCTGCAGTGTTCACATGCTTGACAAAACGATCCATGCCGTCAACACCGTAGAATATTGCATGTTTATGAATGAATGTGAACAGCACAGGGCTGCAAGATGTCTCGGTGGCTCGCGCCGTCACCTCGCAGCCAGAAGGTCCCCGATTCACGTGGCTGGGACGCCTGCGATCTTTCTGCGTGTTTGCTTGTTCTCCCTGTGCAGCGTGGGTTCTCTCTGGGTTCTCCAGCTTCCTCCCACAGTCCAAAAACATGTT